GCATTTGATAGACACACAGCTTGCCACATTTTTATGTCTCACACATTGAAACTGTTCCTTCCACAATATCGCTCCATACTTTTACATTATTTATATAAGGCAAAAATAATAATCTCAGAAACCTTAAAGGAATCCTGAAGAAAACCATACAGGCCAGAACTAAACCATCCAGCTTTGCTATTTTGGTTTGTGCACTTTGCAGTGGGGCAGCAGGAGGGATAATCACCAATGTAAACTCATGCTCTGGACCCACTTGTGGGACAGGAAATGGAAGGACTTCCAACAGGACACAGTAACTGTAATTGATAAAGATATTTTTCATTAAGAAATTCAGAATAATCCCACATCTTATATCGCATCTTTTCACTTAGTTAATTGAAAAATCCCTTCCGGGTAACTTGCATTAACTGGGTCCTTTATTGCAAATTCCTCAGGAAGAAAAGGTGGGAGTAATTGAAAAATTTTAAAAGCATCTGTGGACCAGATTTTCCAAGCTAATTTATAATTGTTCAGATGAAAAAAAGAGAACAAACAAAAAAAAAACCCCACAAACAGCAGCAACAACAAGTATCCCATTACTGGCTTGGGTTACATAAAATGCCAACGTGAAAAAGAAAGATGTATTAGAACAGCCACTGGTGTCATTATCATAAAAGCAGACTGCATACACTCAGAATGGAGCACATAACTCAACGACGTCAGACAAACACAATGAAAATAAATTATTGAAATATTTTATGAGAATTAAGAGAACCCATGCTGTGAAGAACATGGTTAACGCTTTGGGAAAAAGATGCCACACCACAAGTTGCTGCAGAGCACGGCCAGAAGGTGGTGGTAGAGCAGCACAATGCTGACAGCAGGCCAGGCTTTCCTGGAGCTCTTCACTGTAAATGCACAAAACAAAGCCACCCTTATTTTCAGGGCGCTTTCGTCTTTGTTATTACTGATCTAGAAAGAAAAGCTACCTCCCATTATCTGGCAGCATTATGTATAGTACGTATGAATGTAGGTGAGCATATATATATTTCATCATGGGCACACATGAGAAATTAGAACTTGAAAAGATTGCTACAGAAGAGTGTTAGCTCCTTCTTCTTCATGCTTTGTCTTATGGGCAGGAAGACAGGCAGCTCACTGCACTGCTGTCATTTGACAATTCTGTGCCATGCAGCAACTGCTACTTGACAGAACAGCAGTATACATGAGAGTGCACAGTAGGGATATTTTGATGGCATTCTGCCTGTTTAAATTAAAAAAAAAATATGCCAAGACAGTGAGAATAATCACTGTCATTAATCAGGACTGTTAAGAACTGCAGAACACAACCACACTTCTTGGCTTCATTATACCTGTATCACTGAATTCCATGATTTTCAGAGCACCGTGCCTGCTAGTCACAAGACAGATTCCAGCAGATACAAGGTGAGCATACTGTGAGTGGAATATGGACACAGCATCTCACAAGCTCTGCTTTTAGAAGTGCACTGAAGTACAACACAGCACACCAAGTCCATCTTCCAGCGGGTATAAAGAGCAGCAGAAAAAGTTATGTGATCTGACAGAAGATTGCATCACACAAAATAACTCAATATACAATAAGATTACCTTTTCTAATTTACTTTTGAGTCTTCTGTCCTCCATTCTTTTCTTCAGTACTTCCACATCTTCTTTATTACCATTAAGGATAATCACATCTTCCTCTTGAAAGGGAACACCACACTTCAAGGCAAGAGGAAAAAAATCACTACTTTTTCAGGATCTTCATCCCAGCGCACCTTTGCTAGAACTAACCCCTCTGATTACCCTCTTCTCTCTAAGGAGTTCTCTAATCTTTCCTTTTGCTGCTTGTCTTTTCCAATATTTCTTCTCTTCTCATGTTTCATACAGCACTTACAACACCAAAGGGAAAATCATGGTAGGTTCTACTACTGAGCAGAACAGCACCGACCGTTGGTACCTCGTTCTCACAGAAAGAAAAGCATTCAGCTCTGTAGTGAATCATGAACTTCTGACAACCACATCTAACAGCAGCTCCCACACCAATCTGCACAGCACGCTCTAAAAGAATTCCAGAGCCATGACAATATTGGTTTTTTTCACTTGTGAATGCATTTGATTAAGACCTAAGCAGTACAGCACTGCATTTTTCCACTCACTGACAGTCATATAAAAAACAATGCCTGAGAGCAGCAATTCATTTAAACAAAGGAGCCCCGAAAATGGCATTATTCATTAACCCAGCCCTGTTATCTCACTGTACTTCACCTGATTTATTAAACACTACCAAGTTTTACATTTTCAAAGAGCATTTATTAATTAATCTGGATTATATAAGTAATCTGCTTCATGTAACTTGCTTCCTGATTGAGTACACAGATGTCTGCACAATTTTTAATCATCTGGAAAACACCCAGCACATCCACTATGGCATTTGCCATTTTAAGATCTCATTAGTTTTTTACGTTTACATTTCTTTTTAATTTTGGTAAATCCAGAGGCTTTCTGCAAATCTGCAGGATTGGTTCATGTTCCTCTCTGTTACCACTCCTCTGTTTTCTGCATTGAGGTTTGTAAAGGTTACTCATGTACTGGTAGCAGGCATTAAGGTACCATACATACCTTTCACTTGTTCAATTACAACAAACACAGGTAGCCCAAGTGATGAACAGTTTGAAAAATGAATAGTGAGCCACTGTGGCAGAGAATTAAGGGTTGCAGAGATGAATATTCAGTGCATTGGGCAGAGCAGTGGGTCAGAAGTGGGAGAGCAGCCTGTTTTTCCATCGCTGCTCAATGAGCTACTGTTGGAAATAGCAGCTCAGTCTGAGCTCAGGCATTTGGGAGTGAGAAGTCTCCCAGTCAGGACAGACCACAGTCTTTATCCTGAGGACAGAACGACTGGAACAGTTCTGATTCCAAAGAAGCCCTCCATGCTCACTTCTCGTTGATGTTCTTCTGAATGCAGCAGGAACTGCACACAGCCACCTACAGACTAATGACTTAGGAAGTAGTTTTTAAAATCACATCCTATCAAGCATATGAAACCACAAGGTTGCTTCCTGCAGCGAAAGTTCATGTGAAAGCACTCTAACCTTCATAAATGTTCTTATAAAGGAAAGAAATTCCGGGCTTTCATCTGGAAAACACAGATGGAACTCTTCTAAAGTGAAATTGCACTGACTCCCCCTTCTCCAGTTTCCCTATTTACAGTAGATAGTAGTATTAATTCTGGCTGCTTTTTTTTTTTTTTTTTAGAAGCAATCACTGTTTCTTCATGAAAAAAAAAAAATAATTCAAGTACTTGAAACGTTTGTGTGAAAAACAAAGGAATTTCAGCTTTGCAAATTCAGGAAGGTTATTCCTTCCAGTCAAGGTGTTCTCTGGCAGATGTTTGTCTGACAATATCACAAGGTCTCCTTGCTGTACCTTGTTTATACTGGGACTTTAAATACGTATGAAGGTACTTCCACAGTTCCTTGATGCTATTGCAGCACTCTGAACAGAAGACAATCCAATGAACTTGAACACTATTCTGAAATGGACAAAGGCATCAGAACAGCAGCTTGCAGAGCTGTGGGTGAGACTCAGGGTAACTGAAGAGCTGTAAGCTGAAGGGATTTACACTGAAGGACGTGCTGGATGGGCTGTGTAGGTTTTGCCCAGATGTCCTTTCAGGATCCAATCACAAAAGCATAAAAGTACATTTGTGGCACCAAAATGGCCTAACATACATCAGGGAATTATTTAAAGGCTGTGCACATACAATTAAGAAGTCTTCAAAAGCTGATGTTATACATTTATATGTATGCTATATATCCTACAAACAGCCTACGATTCTATAACACACGTGAACACACCCACCCACCATCAACTTTAAACCCTGAAGACTTAAAATCACGGGAACAATAAGGTTATTTTAATAGGGTAGGATAGTTGTCTTCATTAGAGAACAAAGGTGCTGGGGTTTTTTGTTTGTTTGTTCGTTTTCAGTAATAACAAAATCATCTTCTGTGGCCGAAACTTAGAAGACAACATTTGTACCCAATTCCTTGCTGTTCATTACTTCTGATAGCCATTATTTTGTTCAGTGTTTCAGATTAGTTCCATCCACGACTACTGCAGCCTCATAATACAATTAGATAACAGGCAAATACATTCCCATTATCTAGGTATTTACATCAGCATTAAAATCTAATGCCCTACAGAAACCTGAAAGTCATTTCCTGAACTACGAACACCAAATTAACTCCTGCCACCCTCCCAGATCTGACTATGAACAAGGCAGGAGTCGATACTCTTCCAAAGCCACTTCTCTCCAGAACAGGGGATGTGCATCCTCACGTCCCATCCATTCCTTTTTAGACAGGGCAACATGCAGAGATGGCACTGAGCAGACATGCTATTCAGCCAAGGACCAAGCCAGCATTCATTTACCAGCCACACAAGCTTGACGAATTAACAGCTACAAGAGACAGTAATCGTTAACTACAAACATGAGAGAGTTTTCCAGAAGTTCCTTCACTGGAAGGGCAGCACTGCAGGAGCTGTGAGCAGCACTTCTGGCGCTGTGTCTGAGCAGCAATGGCACAAAGACTGATGGACAACCTGGGATGAGTGGGAAAGTCTCCCCCACACACTGCACGTCCTGTGCTGAGTCCTTTCTCTCAGGAGTTACACAGCATCCACTACAGCAGACTGCCCGAGCTGCAGCCTCTATTCACACAGCTTCCCTTCAAGTCAGTGAGTTTTCTATCTGCTGTTCCTGCAGCTGTGCCCTCATTTACTTTGAGGTTTTCTCTTTATTTCCGAGCAATATTCTATTTTTATCTGTAAGTATCCAAAATATGCCAGCCTTCCCACCCCACTTACTGCAACAGCTTTGCAAATCCAGTAAACCTGAACTGTTAATTTTTCACTTATTAAAACCCCACCAAGAGTCCTAATAAAAGCACAAACAGCGAACAGTTCAGGAGGATGACATTTCATGCATTATCCCTTCAGTGCCAGACATCAGTGGAAACAACCAGAGGCATTTCCTTCCTATGCTTCTTTGCTGCAATCTGGAAAGTTTCAGCAGGCAAACAGTTAAGAAGGAAGAGGGAGGAGGAGGAGGAGGAGAAAGGGCAGCTTTCCCTCCCATTCTCATCATCCAGCACACTCTGCTAGCAGCACTGGGGTTAAAGCCTTGGAGGTAAACCACAACTATTTACAATCATCAGCAATGCACTCTACGTATCTGAAAGTCTGATTTCAGGCCTTTTAAAGACTGTTTCTGAACAGCAGCACCAAAAATTTGGAGAAGCTCACATTTTCTCTTATTATCGTGAAGCAGAGGACATTTCTTCTGAAGCTGAACAGCAGAATAAACATGCTAAGCATCGCAGGGAACCACATCAAGTCGTGTTAATGTTTAACCCCTTTCAGTTCTATGAAATTTCCACACAAGCAACAGAATGAAGAACACTGCCTGAGTGTTGCTGAAGGACAACGGGACCCTATTCATTTTTATTATGCTGCCTTCTCCTGGCTGACTCTGGACAAGGTAAGACGAAATAAATTACATTCTTGGACTTCAGGTTTTTCACTCTCTTAAATAAAGCACAAAATAGTCTAATTTTTATGAAAAAAATTCACTTCAGAAAGGCCATTTCACTTTAGCAGAATACTCGAGCCTGCAGTCGGGGTCTGTTTGTTTTTACTCTGTCATTGATGTGCAGGACAGGTTGGCCATTACTACAAGCACTGTTTACATCAAAAGTCTCAATGCTTACAAATATGTGGTTTACTTCTGTTCCAAACAGCTTAGCATCTCACAAGCATGTACCTCAGGGGTTGAAGTAGCTCCTGTAGTATTTGACTGAAATTGCAATAAGGTCAAGTACACCATCCAACAACAAAATCATAGATAGGAAGGTAAGTCTCCAAAGATCTGTTTGCATTTATGGGTAAATATTGATGTAATATTCAAATAAGAATGCTCTAGAATGTATAAGGTGGTACAATTTGGGATTGAAGAACATTTTCATTTACTTGATACGTGTCACAACGCAGAGGCAGAATCAGCATACTCACCCAGGCTGACTGAAAAAGCTAAGTAAAAAGCAGTTAAAAACACCAATTTTACAAATGAGTTTATTGAGTTCTAAATTAGTATTCACTTGCTTATGCAGGCCTTAGCGTAAACATCTTTCAGATGACAGACAGACGTAAAAATATTTGGAAATACAAGAGCTACAGCCTTTTCACCGTGTAATTATTAGAAGATGAAGCATTCCTAAGCCTACATTAACATCAACCAGTTCAAAGGGTACAGACAGAGCAGGAGGTTCAGAGAGGCAACGCTGCACTCTGAAACCCTACAGCAGGAAGAAACAGTGAGCTGTGAAATGATCCCATCCTAACTGTGAAATGCACTGCAACATATACAGTTAATGGGGCTTTTATAAACTGAGGTGATATTTCACAGGCCTGCTTTCAGGTATAATTGAATTTTTCTCCAGAGTTTACCTTTTAATGGAGTTGAATTAAGACAGTAACTCTCCATTAGGTGACTGTCCATCAGGACAGCAGCCCAAGGGTTCGTGACCATCCCTACAATGGGCTGTTCTCTGAAGAATGCCACTCTCAGCACTTCTAAAAATTAAGACAACTTCATGCTCTGAGTTTAGCAAACCTACCCATAGTACAGAACAGGCTGAGTTTCAATACCTACAGTTGCATTCCAGCATAAGAAAACTGAAAGACAAGGCAGCCTTGGTTAGTCTGGAGTGTGGATGTTCTTAATGGTAAGAAATGATCTTGCTCTTCAAGGGCAGGACTGTGGTAACACAGCTCTTCACAGCAGGTCACAGAGCTGGGGCTAGGAGACTCTTGTAAGTCTCCTAGACTGCATTCAGAACAAGACTAACAGAGACAATTCCAGCCCCAGAACCATTAACACACAAGCAGAAAGTTAGTTTGTGAATTCTGTAATATATACTGAGGTTGAAAGATGTCAAGTTTTGCTCTTGTTGGAAAGGCTTCATCATTAAGTCATTCCCCAGAATCATTTAAGCATTGGGGAAGGAATTATTTCCTCTTGGCTGACAGCAGTGTTTGTATGCCCTTATGCTGCTATATAAAACACAGCTTCTAGATGCTACACAGTTCAGTAGGAAAAAATCCATAGTAAATACTTAATCTGAAACATCCCTGGAAGCTATGAGGTGATGGGCAGTAAGAATTTCAAGGATGGAACAAACAGGTTACAGCTTGGATCTGCAGAGAGCTAACCTTCACAAACTGTGCAGAGCTGTAATGAACTAAAAAAAAAACAAAACAAAAAATCCAACATGTAATAAACAATGGAAAAGCAGAAAAGCTGACAGAATGCTCATGCTGTACAGACAGATGCTGTTTTCCAAGCAAGTCCCAAACATTTCTGTAACTGTGCAGTACCTTCAGTGAAATTTTTATGTCCAGAATGTGAAGTTCCACAGAGATCTCATCACATTCACTATTTCAAAGTAACTGTAATGTCTCTCCTTTAATTATTCACTAAGAACAAACTGTTTTTTCTAGCTTCGGCTCCAAAAAGGTTCAGTGTTTCTGTAACACTCCCTCCCCAACTTCTGCTTTTGCTAATGGCCCTTATGCAAATCCCTGCTTGGCTCTGGCAGTCAGCTGGTAGCAGCCTGCAGCACCACCCTCGTCCTTTCCACTGCAGAAATCCTTACTTCCACCTTAGACTGCCATTCCTTTTCCCTTCCTCTTTGTGTGATATTGAAAGATTGAAGTGGACTCGAGCTGCTGAAGTTTTTGTTTTTTTTCCATGCAAATGGCTGAAAGACAATCAAGGTTGTTTACACAGTAAATTTATCCCTTGGGAGCAGCTGAGGGAAAAAAAAAATATATTCCCCTGGGCCTTGATTTCCTCCTGTTTTTCTTTGGCCTTTGCGTTCAGTGCAGACTGAAGAGCTCCGCTGACAGAACACAGAATCAAAATGGATGAATCCTCCACCTAACACACAAATCCACTTTCCAGAATGCTCAGTGGAAAAGAGGCATTCATCCAGCATGAAATGCAGTGCATACTGGTAAGCACAACAAAATAAGTACATTTCTTCCTGACAACCTAATGGATCTTAAGATATTACTACTATACAGTATCTGTTCTCTTGGTACGAATTCTGTATTTTTAATGCTTTTAAAATTCTCAGTCTCTCTTTTTTTCTCTTTACTTTCACTACAATGCCCTCTTTATTTTCAAGCTTCTAAAACAGTCCTAAGCTGTGTTTTCTTTTTTAAAATTATTTCCCACTTTTATCTAATGAAAACCCAGAGTCTTTGAAGTACAACAGCATTCAGATGAAAAACTACATTTACAAGAAGATGCTTGTTCTCCATTCTTATATAATGACAAATATGTTATGATGCAATGTATGGGATATTTATAGGTTGAATTATAAAATTCGTTAAAAACAAGTTCACTAAATAAGGTAGAATTCAACAGCAGATGAATTCTCTTTAAAATACAAATGAAGTATTTCTTGATTATTAAGCTTAATGACAGCTGATGACCCTTCCTCCACTGCAGGGAATTTTCTCTAGGAAAGGGATACAGACCTCCTGTAGGAGCTGGAGGACTCAGGACTGCTGCACTTGTGACGTTTCAGTAAGAAAGATGCATGCAGGGAAAAAAAATCACAATGGAAAAATGAGGTGCTTTCCAAAGCACTTCAACAAAGTTGTCAAGAGAAGGGGGAAAAAAGTCTCCAACAAGTTAGAAATGCCTGCTCACTTCATAGGATAAAGAACAGTGCATATTGTGGATTGCATTTTAGTGTTCCCCTTTTGGTTATTTCATACAATTGCTGCTGACCTGATTTACTGAATCCTGGTCCTCCCCAGCAGAACGTGAGGTTGCCAGGCCTCAAGCAAATCCCAGCAATGAGTGCCCCTTAGTTGCATTGCTCACAGTCTCCCCAACTCTGAGGGCTGGACCCCGACCAACCTGCACTGGTTGTACGATTAACTTCTATATTATTGGCCATTTGGTAATTAGTGTACAAAGCCATTTGGGATTCTTTGCCTAATTTTGTTTGTCATAGGAAGAGCACCTCATGGTCTCTAAGTACTGTTTCCAGTGCACTGCAGCGTGAGCACGGGCACACAAACAGTCCTTCCTAGTAACTGGAAAGAGTAACCTCAGCCTTAACAAAAGCACTACTACTATGTCATCAATTAAAAGAAGAGAGTCAATAGGGTTGTCTCCGTCTCTATCTCAATCTTCCTTTCAGATAATCTGCATGCCTAATTAAGCTATGATCAGAAGACAGTATCTGGATAATAGAAGATGAACCCACTCGATGCAACAAAATCAGGATTTTTACTGTGCATTGCTGTCTGTATGTTCATCTACACTTTCATCTACCTGAAGGACACACTTTCTGCAGAGCAAGAGCAACAGAAATTTAGCACAAACAGAGCAGAGTGTGGATTTTATCCAGATGAACTTTGTCCAGCTCTTTTTGTGGGGAAAACTGCGGCCCTTAAAATTGGAAGCATTTGTCAGAACACCTACAGACCTGCAGCACTCAGCTGTGTTCGGACCTCATGCAACTGCTCCACAGTTCTCAAGGCTCTGCACTTTATAACGAGACCACTGTCAGATGAAGAAGGAAATTTCTCACTGGCGTACATTATCACAATCCACAAGGAGCTGGAGATGTTTGTAAAGCTGCTAAGAGCTATTTATACACCTCAGAATATTTACTGCATACACGTTGATGAGAAGTCACCAACAGATTATAAAGCTGCTGTACAAAACATTGTAAATTGCTTTGAAAATATTTTTATTTCCTCAAAAAGGGAGAGTGTTGTTTATGCAGGATTTTCAAGGCTACAAGCTGATATTAACTGCATGAGAGATCTGGTTCATTCCAAAATCCAATGGAATTATGTTATTAATCTGTGTGGCCAAGATTATCCTATTAAAACAAACAAAGACATTATAAAATATATCAAAAGTAAATGGAATGGTAAAAATATGACTCCCGGGGTAGTCCAACCACTTCACATGAAGCACAGGACACAGGTTAGTTACAGAGAATACGTGCATTCTGGAGTGTCGTATGTGTATCCCACAAAGAATGCAAAAGCTAAACCTCCATACAACTTGACCATATATTTTGGTAGTGCCTATTACATATTAACTAAAGAATTTGTAGAGTTTACACTGACTGATGCACGTGCAAAAGACTTGCTTGAATGGTCAAGAGACACGTACAGTCCGGATGAGCACTACTGGGTCACACTGAACCGTCTGCAGGGTAAGATTTATGTTATTTCTATTAAGAGCAACATCTGCACCAACAGCACTGGGGCATGGGACAGAGCTGAGTTCTGTTCTAGAGCTTAACAACACCCTGAGTTACACTGCATGGATGTGGTCATTCAGTCTTGATGCTGCTCCTTTAAACCCTATCTTATGATGGCTGAGAAATGGAGCTTGATTCTAGAGAAGTCCTACTTATGGTGCAGACCATTAGCTATCAGTTAAAGAAGAGTTAATTAAAAAAGTAAATTTTTACTGTGATAAAGCTCATGCTCTCAAAATTATCCCCCAAATAAGTAGAAAGGAATCTCATCAGAACTTTACTCTTGTAAAGATGCCCCAGGTGCTACACCACACGCAGACTGGGAAGGAAACATACGAGCCATTAAATGGAAAGATCAAGAAGGAACCGTACACAAAGGCTGCAAAGGTAACGTGAGATTTTATCGTGAGCTACAATTGCATTCACTGCTAGTTATGTATCATGCATTGAAATAGCCTCGGTGGGAACACTTTCTTTTGTGGAATTATCATATAAAACAACCGCCCATCCCGCTCTGCTGTATCCAACCCAAATACCTTCTGACACACTGTTGCACAGATCGTCACAGTATCCACCTGCTGACCGCCCTTCTCCCAACCCCCCACTTACAACAGCTCCACAATTCAATGGGCCAACAACAGAACTGCAAGTGTGCACGTTTTCTTATTTTGCAAGTTTCTTTGTACTCAATTACCTTCCTCTGTTTGCATTCACCAACGCCCTCGTTAGACTTTCAGTTTTAGTGCAAAGTGAGGGGGTTACTGAGCAACACATTTGTCAGATACAGCAGAACTGAATGAAATCTCTTCAATCTGATTTACAGAAGCAGGACAGTGCTGACACGTGGAATAAAAGGCAAAAGATAGTTAAATATACATAACTGCAAACTCAACCAGGAAAGCGCTGCCTTCTTAAAAATGGATCCAAATGAGGTAGGAGAACTTCAGCTGTTCCACCACGAGATAGGCACTGTCAGAGCAGCAGGTGGAGACAGCACGCATCCATGTATGTAAAACACAAAATCAGAACAGCCTGGAAATTTTAGACCCAGGGCTAAGCTCTGGATCCATTTCAGCGTGTGAAGTCAAGAGGTAACAGGTGTTAGTAACCCCACAGCATGAAGATATTCTTTCAGGATTCCCTGCAGCTTTCCTCTGCTTTCAGACACTTCAATTTGTCTTTGCAGGTCATTACATCAGAGACATTTGTGTCTATGGTCTGGGGGATTTACAGTGGATTATCGAATCGCCTCACTTGTTTGCCAACAAATTTGAGCCTGCAACGTATCCACTGGTGATGGACTGCCTAGAGAGACGCCACAGGCTGAAAGTGCTGCACCAGGCAGAGGTCCCAATTGAAGATGACTGGCGTTTTCAGGAAGAGAACTCTTTCAACATGAAGCTGGATGTTTGAGATTAACTGAAATGTAAATGTACATCCAGAATACTGAGAACCCATCAGTGTTTTCACCCATAGGCTTCATTCGCTTGGTGCACTGCTTACCCCCGTGCTGTGATGCTGTACTACTGTTTGACCAGTGAAATAGGCAGTTAGTGTTACTCACTACAGTAACAGAAAGAGCAACGGCTGCTAAAGGATTAATTCCTACAGAAAATGATGTCTGTAAGAAGGGGGAAGTTCATAATCTTCTAAGTGACTCATTTAACTGGAAAATACACATTCCCCATGTCTGTAGCTGAAAAGAAAAAAAAAAAAAAGAGGACTAACTGGTATAAGAGTAACAAGATGGAAGTAATGACTGCACAAAGGTGAAATACGAAGAGTACAAGCTAACTAAAGTCATGTCTGGTGTATGCTTTATGAAACAGATTGCTCTGAGTGGCAAACGTGTCACTAAAGCTGCAGAGCTTGCAGAGAAGCAGATGACAGCCAGTTTCACACACAGCCCATCTCACCGCCATTCATGGCCAGCTGCACTTCTAACTTCATTGTGTAGCATGGCAACACCACTCATGCACTATTCATGTTTTGCTCTTACTAAAAAGGGTGTCTGTATCAGTAACAGTAGTAGGTGTCCTGCAACACTGTGTTTACTTCAAGTCCTTGTTTTTCATCCTCTGCAGGCATTTAGGGCTAGGAGACATAGGAAATGGGAAGCCAGGGAACAAAGGCAGAGTGAAAAGCTGTTTTTCAATCCCCACAGCTTCCCTGAATCTTGACAACTGGAGATAACACCCAGAAGCATCCAGGATAAGGATCTTATTTCCCAGATCCTCTGCAACCAACTGCAGTTCTAATCAGCCTGCACAAAGAAAGTGGCTTTTCATATCAACCGAAGCCAAAACAGGGAATAGGAATATAAAGAGATCGAGGATGCAGCCCTCCTCCAGGTTGGAGCTGCTCCCCCCTTCCCCTTAAGGACTCTTAAACAAGTCCTCTCAACTGTGCCACAGAAGAGACTGGAGATAGACAGGGGACAGAGCAGACATGGTGGTGAATCCTGAGAAGTCATCTCAGGTTTTCCTCCTTTAAAAGGTTTTTATTTTTTTGCAAAAATGCAGCCAAAAAGTTCATTCCATTAAATCCAAACAAGCTTCAATTTTCTGTATTAACTCCGATGGAAGAGAGTAAAAAACATCCTGTTATTTGTAAGTTTACTTGATTAGAAACTACAAATTGTAAAGAAATGTCTGTGAGCAATTCAGATGTAAGCTTCAATATACACCCCAGATATTACTCATTTTGCAGGAAAACTTAAATATTAAGTATTTTTCAAAAACAAAACAAAACAAAACCCACAAAACTGAATTAACAAATGCCCCAGAGCAGAACAAACACATTTCCTGGAACTGTAATGCTCATTTTCCAACACAAGTTTCTTGGAAACAATGCTTTTCAATGAACTTTAACCTAAAGAAGGACCATCTGGTCCCTATTTATTTACAGAAACTTACAAACTCAACCCAAAGGCCTGGACTCAGCCTACTCACAGCCAACCCCATAGCTGACTATTGCTGAAGACATTCCTTTATGGATGGAAGGAAAGGAACAAGTCAGTCGGCACGCTGAACGGCCTTCTGAATCCAACTCTGACACTGCTGGGTCTCTACACATATTAGAGGGAACAAAATGCACAGCAACTCCTCTCCAAACAACACTCAATCCACAGCAAGGTGCTCCCAGCATTTCTTTCTCCACTCCATGCTGGCTTTAAAAGCACGAATGTCACATTCCTCACTGCTGTCTCTATAGAGAATGCAGTACCTAGCTTTCACTGTTCATCATGCCATGCAGAACAATTGTGTTCTGAAATGAATGAGGAAAGTAGGAACTACTTTCAGATTGGCTCAGCTTGCAGGAACTCATCAATCTGAGGAAAAAAAAACAACAAGCAGCTTTCTTCTTGAAAACAAAAATTACAACTTCACCAACATCAGCTGAAGAAAGGTACAAGTGAGCAAACCTCCTTCCCTAAAGGATTTTATTGTTTAAATCACAAAATTGTATACATATAAAAGCCCTGATTAATGCACCCATTCTTAATTATTAAGAAACATCATTTTAGCCATTGCTGAGTAATCACAACATCATCAATTTCTCATAGTGTGGCTTTTTTGTTTGTTTTTTTTTTTAGTTCTATCAACAGCTTAAAAAAAAAAAATCAAGTAATAAACCAGTGAAAGCTGAAAGCATTTAAAATGCCCTACAAAACCATTCACATGATCAATCTGCTCTCACACAGCTCCTGATGTTTACTAATTTTTGGTAACTGCTGCACTGAGCACAGAGTGGCAGCGTGCTGTGCTCCAAGGAGACCCTGGGCTCTGTAACACACTGCACACACATTAACACACATCTGAGAGATGAATGCACAATTTCTATTTCAAAAAGCCTGTGGAACACTTTCAATAGCTCTATATCTAAGGTAAACATTTGATTGTTTAACATGGCACAGATTTTAGTAGGCAAGATATACTTCTGGCATGTATGAAAGCTTGTTAAATGTAGAAATGCTTCCAAAAGAAGCTGTAAAGAGAAGCAAGAGACTACACTTGAAAAACCTGGTTAAAAAAGAGGTTTGTACAATGGTCATAAGCAAGGAACTAATTAAACAAAGTACAGGGAATATTATAACAATTCATCTGTACTTCTCACTGCCTTCTGGCCCCTCTGTGCAGTAGGTTTCATCAATCTCAGAAGCTGGATGCCCCTTCTGATTATGCCAGAACCACGGCATTTACAGCACTGAGTGAGCACAGAGCTCCTGTACAATTCCACCCTTTACTTCAATCAGTGTCATCATTCCTGTGTTAATGACAGAAATCTGCACAGAGGAAGCAGAATCAGAGCAGCCCCATCACAAATGCCACAGAGAGCCTATTCAGAACATGGTAAAACAGATGTTTGGTGGCTCCACTGCATGCTCCCAGCCCTTCTCCCTCCTCAAGCTGCCCTACTACATGCCACACATTCACTGATTCCCTTGATAAGGCATCTGGAACAGCTGTATTATCTCATCTGTATAATCCCTGTATTACACAGATTGATCAGAAGTCTGGAAGTTTCAGCACAAATTCAATAATCATTGCTCTGCCAACAAATAGACTGCCACAGATTAGCACTGAGAGCCTTGTTCAAGACACCTTCAAATAGAAAGAATGATTTTCAAGTATGGTTGTTCTTTTAATTTAATTTTAGTAGTCTGATGGAGAATCAAAACAGCAAGTGAAAAGCTCTCGCTTAAAAGTGCAGATTTTAACCTGGTATTTTTTATGTCACATTCAGTCCTTCCTGAAGAACAGCAGGCAGGAAGCAGACGGAGCAGAAAGCTGCTGAGTCAGGGCTCCGTGCTGCACGGCACTCATCAGCAACAAATGCCTTCATCAAAGTTGCTGCTCTTCCTTCCTCTTAACAGTCACATCCTGTACATTTCAGCACCCATCTTCCCACTGCTGTTTACAACCTCCTTCCTTTGCTCTATAAAACTTCAAAAAAATGCCTTAGAAAAGATGCATGTCTGTGTAAAACCATCAGTTCAACCACTTCGTGTAAAGCTCCTACTGAGGAATTATTTTTATTTTGAAATGAATTTTTATTGATCACTGAAATGAAAAGACTGCTTCATCTCCCGTGCACCTAAGCTCTATAAAGCCTTCTAAATCCAGGACAGCAGCAAACACTGCCAAGATAAACCAAAGGAGACTGAATTCTTAATCTGGTGTTTTTCTAGTTCCTTGGGTTAGGCAGTGGCCTGCTTCTAAACACTTGTTTCACAATAAGCACGTTGCTGTGTCATTGTATCTATGAGCTGCCACAGAAATAATTAAAAGAAAAAATATGGAGAAGTGAGCAGAGAGAAGCTGACTGTGGGATCTCCCAGTGGAAAGTGGTTTATCACTTTCTGGGTTCTGATGAGCCAAGCTAGGAGATCCAGAAAGGAAGGAACCCTCTGCTCTGAGCAAAGGAAAATAATTCCCCACAGTTCCACAAAGCACAGCATTTTCTGACACCTTGTAGCACACGAATATATGAGCTTTGTGACCTTGCTGACAGAACACCAGACTGCAGACTGCCTGCTGGCACTCGCTGAAGAAGAGATGTTCAGCAATGTTTTTCCTGCATCATTGATGCATCTCTTCGCAAAGTCCTCTAGGAAACAGTTGTTTACATGTTAACAGGCTTTCAAACCTGGTCTGCAGGCTTATAGGTGAGATTAATGCACAAGAACAGCTTGTTTTGAAAGCCCTTTCCTGAATTTCACAGCAGTAGAAAAAAAGAGCTGCTATCCATCTGGATTTCCCAGTTTGCATTTATACCACAAATCTCAGCTCGAGATGAAGCAAGATCAGATTCTAACATATGAAAAGAAAGCCTGGGTGCTAAGAGTGCAGAGACAAAGACAGGATTGCTCTTTCTGAAGCACTCATCAAATCACACATCTGACTCACCATGGCCCACATGGATCCCACAGGATCCATTCTGGTTCCAAACTAAACGTTCTTAAGCCAGCAGGAGAAACATTGCATCCAGCAACCACAATATTCAAACCCTGCACCTCAGAGAGTTTTTGCATTTTGAAAGAATGCCTACCTGACAGCAACACTTCTTTGCTAAGAAGCAATTTGTAATCCTAGCATTAGCACAATACACAACACTACTTTTCCTCTGTGATTTTTTTCCAGTTCACTTTACTGCATTGCCGTATAAAGACAGCATGTGCTGGGGAAATTCAGGTAATTAGGGCTACATATACACAAACTGGCAGCTACTAATCTGCATATTGAAATGAAAAAAACCAGAACACTTTAAAATAGTAGACAAGAACACAGTTCTGCATGCATACATATAAATACATATGTACACACACACGTCCGTCTGTCTCTGAGGGTCACTGTAACCCCATTGCTATTAAAGCTAAGAAAAACCCACCTTGTGACAAACTTCTGTTTTAATTTCTTTGAGAGCACGTTCAGAGAACACACAGCCACAGTTCCTCAGGAAGCAAAACCTTTAAAGAAAAGGCAACAGATCATTTTTAATAAACTGTGTGTCTAAAATACGTATCTGCAAGCTCACAATGTCACCCTTTTCATTTCAAACTCTTTAGGGAGAGCTACTCTTAATCCTCTCCATCATCCTCACACGAAGAAAAACTGTCCTATGGTGGCCCTGAGGAAAACGGGTTTACTTTTCAGGTTCTCTCTTGAATTCCATCTGAATAACTGTAATTATTCACTTAAGGAAGAAACACTTTGCAGCTGTTAAGCTGTGAACCCAACCCCTCTCATCTATCAGAGTTAAAACGCACAGAAAAAGAAATTCCAAATGTGCCCAAACTGAATGCAAAGGAAAGCCTTTCTTCAGCCAAATAATAATAATAAAAAATTGATACTAGCATTTCAATACAATTTGCTCTACTACAAGTGGGGGAGGAGGGGGGTCTCACTCAACCTTTCTCCCCTTATCCATGTCAGTCACCCACGGTTTAGCCCTCAAACCTCGAAGTCTCTCATTCACTGTAAACATTACTCTTAACTCTTTTATCATACACATACTTTGACTCCAGAAAGGGATAACTTTTCATCCTTAAAGGGGAAAAGATGAAAAGAATGCAGGACATCTATTCCCCATAAAGACATACACGACCTACATCATTTACACTTCTTTACTTGCTACAGATTCCACTTTACATTGCAGCCACTTTTATAACCTACATTCAGAAATGTAAACTACTGACCTGTGCCTTCCATTCATTTCCAACCCCACCACAGGGCATATGAAGCGTGCAGACTGCATGTCATCATAAGTGTCACCTTTTTTACTTTCTTTATCACCACTCCAAGCTGGATTATCTGCAAGGTTTAGTTCTGTTACATTCTGAAAGATAAAAAGCAAATAAGACTTCAGCTGCTTTACTGATGATTTTTCAGGCATGACCAGATTCCCAGAGATTTTTTCCACTGCAATTTTTTCCTTTAGCAAATTTGCTGGTAGTGAGATGAGAAGCCAATTGAGGTCTCACAGGACTCTGAATTCTGTGGCACTCTTTAGTGTAAAACCTTCTTACCTTAATGCTCTTGATATGTGATGCAGCTTCCATGGGAGTTTTATCAGCTGACTTGTCCAACAAAAATTCAATGACAGCATCTTTATTATACAACCTACAAAATAAAATTTTCAGTAATCCTATTTAATGCCCATAACATTCTCTTTTATTCACAAATCAGCACCTTTCAACACAGAGAACATCATACCTGCCCAGCTCACAGGCCACTATGGGGCGACATAACTTCTCCTGACTCAGAGTGCAGTAATACCACCTTGCCACCAATTCAGCAGTTTTGTCAACCTAAAGAAAAAGAAATAATAATACTTTTAAAACAGCTTTTCTATTCACAAGTTATACATTAAATTCAAATAACACTTGAAGCGTTAATCAAATCCCCAGGCATCTCACCAAAACTACTCCCTCTGTTGCTCCATAAAGTATTAGCAAAAACTCGTGATCACTTTTGAGCTGTTGAAAATGTTTCTGCATCTTGGGGCCAGCTTGCTAACTCTAAGTCAGTTTTCTCACTTTCTGACACCTCCATCTCTACACTTCCCTCATTTACTGTTTTTTATACTTCATGTTATCTATGATGCATCTCCACAGAACCACATTTCAGACCCACTTGATCCAAATTTCAGTCCTCATAAGGAGCAAAAGTAACAAGAAAAACAAATCTAGGGATATTGATATGATAGCTGAAAGTTCAGTTTTAAAGCAAAAATTTATTAAGTATTTGACCACAGAGAAAAGCTGAGATTTGAAGCTACTTCAGTTGGCATAACGTAGCAGTATGGCCACAGTCTGACATGGAGCAGAAATGCTATTTATTTGCTTATATTATTAAAGGTTATCTGTATAACTGCTCTGATGTTTGCTGTGATGTTTTTCCTAACTTTAATCCCGGTGACAGCACCGTGTCCAATGCTGCAAGAATGCAATTAGATGGAATGAAATCACAGAATCACAGAATCACCCAGGTTGGAAGGGACCTCAAGGATCATGTAGTTCCAACCCCCCTGCCTAGCAGGGCCACCAAACACACACATTCAGATCAGGTTGCCCAGGACCCCGTCCAACCTGGCCTTGAACACGTCCAAGGACGGGGCATCCACAACCTCCCTGGGTAGCCCGTTCCAGGGCCTAACCACTCTCCTTGTAAAGAACTTCCCCCTAACATCCAACCTAAATCTTCCCTCCTTCAACTTGGATCCATTTCCCCTAGTCCTGCTGTTGTCAGCCCTTTTGAAGAGTTTACTCCCCTCCTGGGTGTAGGTTCCCTTCAGGTATTGATAGGCTGCAATGAGGACACCCCGCAGCCTTCTCTTCTCCAGGCTGAACAAGCCCAACTCCCTCAGCCTGTCCTCATAGGGGAGGTGCTCCAGCCCCCTGATCATCTTAGTCTGGACCTCCTCTGGACCCTTTCCAAAATCTCTATGTCTTTCTTGTACTGAGGGCTCCACACCTGGACACAGTACTGCAGATGGGGCCTCACAAGAGCCGAGTAGAGAGGGACAATCACCTCCCTCTCCCTGCTGACCACCCCTCTCCTGATGGAGCCCAGGATCTCATTTGCCTTTCAAGCTGCCAGAGCGCACTGCTGGCTCATGTTCAGAAATCGAGCCACACCAGCTGCCTAGTGCCACTACACATGGCACCCCAGATGCGTCCCCAGATGCAGCAAATACCGCATCCCTAACGAAGCACGCTCCAACCCCGTGCTATTAAAAGGCTGCGCATGCCTGTAATCCCTCCCAGAATATAAAGCGGCTTTCACCACAGCACCCACTATCGCCCCAGGTACAGAAAGGCGCTCCCGCCCCGCTCCCAGCACCAGACCCGACCCCCAGGTGCGAACCAGCCCTGCCTCCCACAGGCCGTGGGCCCGAGCTCAGGGCCCAGCCTTACAAAACCGGCCCGGAAGCCGCCCGCCGACATCCCCGCCGCCCTCGCGCAGCACCCCCCAACCTTGACGGCTTTGCGAGGCCCCTTGACCAGCTCGTGCCGCTTGGGGATGGTGCCGCCATCGCATCCCATCTCGCTACGCTTCCGTGCTCTCTTCCCGATAGACCACAAGCTTCCGGTTTTTGACTTCCGGTTGAGGACTTCCGGCCGAAGACTTCCGGTCTACCCCGAAAGTGTCACAGCGGCCGCTCACCAATCAGCAGCAGAGGGCGGGACTCACAGCGGGCCGCCCGCAGAGCGCATCGCCGCACCCAGCAGGGGGCGCCCTCAGCCCCCTTCGTGCCCGAAGCCGCTTTTCTTCATTGAGCTGCGCGTCGGTTTATTTATTTACGTGAAGAAATCTGGGCGCACATTTCGGGGAATTCGCGGCCACACCAGACGTGCCCCCTCCAACCCAAGCTCTCCCACGGTTCTGTACCGGCATTTAAATAACCGTACAAAACACGACTGCAGCGTGACAGCGATGGAGCTGTTCTTTGCGCATACACAAATGATAGCAGCAAATACAAATCTACCCAGCCCGTGTCAGAGTGAAAATACAGATACACAGGTACACAGCTACCAAGAAAGGCCAGACTTTAAAAATTCAGATAAAACTTTTAAATAAATTAGTCAAGATAAATACAAGCAGCACAGGAATAGGAACAGCGCGTATGGATGCTCACGGGGCTCACATCACTGCTGCTTCAGAGCAGCAGGTCTGGGGACAGAGGAGGTGACAGACGATGACAGACATTAGAGAGACGGTGGGATACATTGGAGGCTTCGGGCAGTGATGGAGCTGCAATCCCAGAGCTGTGGGAATGGAGAAGCAGAACTCTGCACGCCTTCTATCCGTGCTCAGACAGCAGCCGGAGCATTTCTGATTAACAGCAGTGAGACGTGGTTTGTCCTGTGATGTGTTCATTACGTTGAACATCGAACAGCTGCAAAGGTAAGGCTCTTGGGGAAAAAAAATCAAAAACAGATTCGAGTCGAGTGCTGCAGGATCTGCTGATGATGGTACACACAGTAATATATCGCAGCTTACAGAAAGGTGTGCAGATAAAGAAAGGCTTTACATGCTCAGTAAAAAAAAGAACAGGGAAATATATTTTTGACTTGTGTAGAAATTAAAAAAATAAAAAATAAAAAATAAACAACAGTTAATAATTTGCTGAAATACTCAGCAAAAAAATCCCACCCAAACAGAAAGAGGACAACATTTCTAGACAAGGTCTGAACGGCAGGAAAGGAAGCACACATTTAATTCTACACATCCCTCCTGCATCTGCTGTTGTGTGGGTCTTAACCTGCTAGAGATGCAGAAGTGCCCAAGGGAAACTGCTTGGCAGGGGTGCTTGGGAGGGCTGAGGGTCGGCACCACTGAGCTGCTGGTGCCCTTTGGCTGCCAAGGGAGTGAAGAAAGAACTGTAACAACACAGAAATTCAAGTTTTGACCATTGTTCAAAACACTAATAACAGTTCTAAGAACTGAAGTCACTCTCATTCTAACATTGCTCTAAACTGCTGTGTGTATTTATACAGCTCATCATTTTTATTCTGAAGTTCCCTCATTGCGTCTGCATTGGGATATTGGATTGCAGCATTTTTGGTGGCGAGAGCCAGGTTCTTCAAGAGGCTGCAAAACCGGCTGCTGCTGTGGAGAATGTCGCTCCGAGCCTCTCTCAGTTGTGTTTCCTGGCAGAGAGAATCCACTATCTTCTGCCCCACCATAATGATCAATTTGCTGTGGGATATGAAGACTTCAGGCGGCTGGTTACTGCTCAGGCTGTTATTAAACACAGCAATGGCTTTGTGAAGGGCACCGAAACACAGCCTGCACTGCTCTGGAACAACAATTTTTTTGGCAGAATCTTGCTGGCTTCGAACTGCATTCTTTTTTGTAGATGGCAACACCTAGAAGGAGGGTTCAAAAGAATGGATTCAGGTTCTGGCATGCTGGGTTTGTTCCTACTTGCTCTACAGCACATTCTTCCATTCTTACCATGTTTCCTCACTTACAGGGAGTTTTATTGATTAACAGATGCCAAGCTGCCCCAGACAGCCCAGCATGGGTTTTTTTTTTTTTTGCCATCATTTACTTTCCACAAAGTACTGGGCTTCAAAACAGTATTTTCACTCACTTACCTTTTCCCTGAGAAAACTTCACTGAACACCATTGTCATAATGGATAGCAGACAACGTTCTGTAGTTAAACATCAATCCTTTATGGAGTCTGGGCTCCAAGCTTTTGGATAGCAGAAAGCATTTAGATTTGATTTTAATGGTAATGACTTCACGAGGGGCATGAATAATTAAAACTACACAATAATGAGATTCAGTCCTTATAGCAGTGCATTGCTTTGAAATATTACCTGTCACAGCCTTCCCCAAACAAGACACAAAAGCAAAAAGATGAAGAACCACAGGACTTTAGAGTGGTTAATTACATTTAGGGAAATAAATCTTTTGCACAGCTCTACAGCACTAGCTAAAAAACCTCCAGCTGTGGGAAAATGAACAGAGAAAACGAATACAACTCTATGTGTAGAGGTGGGTTTTCAAACACAGAAATTATTTTGAATTTTAGCAGGCACAGAAATGAAGGACTGGGACTCCTTGTATGCCATAGATTTCAAAATCAGAAATACCTTTGGTTTTGAATCTGTGCTCTTCTTTGACACTTCTTGGCCAGAAATTATTTTCTGTGCCTGTTAAAAATCAAAATGAAAGGAAAATTGAAGTGGTTTACATAAAATATTTAAATATAAATGTGCTTTGCACTTCTGTCAAGGGAAGTGCTTGCTGTCCAGGTTGTGTTACAGATCACATCGATGCATGTATTGAAGTAAATTGCATTTGTTTTCTACTTAAACTTTTGTGCAATCCTGTAAGAGCTACGACTGAAATAAACATCAACAAAATACAACATTTCCTAAATCCTAAGGACATCCAGCATTCCTTTGCAAAGCCAAAGAGACTGAGCTCTTAGCAGACATTACAGTAATTATAAGAAAAAAATAATAATTCTACCAAAACTCCAAAGGTATTCTAGCAAATAAATTTAAAATTCAGAGTAAGAGTTTAATCTGTTATTAAAAAAAAGTCTACAGAAGCACAGTATATCTTACAGCAGAAAATCAGTATTATGCATATTATGATGTCAGAGTTAACAAGTGAAACGTATGGGCAAGGAGAGCTCTACTAGGCTAAGAAAAAAAGCTAACCTACAGACAAAAACTGTCTCCCAAATGAATTTAAAAGGGCAAGCTGCAAATCTTTCTCAGTTTTGGCTGGCTGCGTGGACAAACTCTCTAACACAAGTTCTCTTTGTTACTTGTAATTATTGATCACTGTACCTTCGTGATCGAAATTCTGAGTCCACATAAGGTCTGGAAAATAGATAGCAGTGCAAACTGAAGTTGGCATCGATACAAAGATAGAACAAGAAAAATGACAAAGTCTGCAAATGATGCAGATGCCTGCAAATGTAATGATAGAATCCCACTTTACTAACCTGTAGCTGAACGTATTCACAGTCCTCAGTGACATTTTCTTTTGTTGTCTCATTACTGCCTTGACTTGAGTTGGGTTTATCAGGAGCATTTACTGGAAGCGAATCTATTCCTGTTCTTCTTGGTGCCGTGATTTGTTTTGGCATTTTGTATTCTGGGCTCACTCTTTGTTGCTTCAGTTCTTGCTCCTGCTCATTCTTTCTGAAGAGAAGCTTTCCGTTGGCAATGATGATGGATACAAATCTCTTGAGATCATCTGGAATCGTGCGGGCAACCATAACAAAGCGATCGAGGTCATCTGGGTTGTTGTAGGGTTTCTTGAGGACCAAAACCTCTAAGGACCAATTGCAGTTGTTTAGAGCTTCTCTTGTTTCTGTCAGGATCTGGAATGAGTTCATCAGAATTTCTAGCTGTTTTTTAATTCTGATCTGAAGGTTATTATCAGTGAGGTAGGATGCATTTACCTTTAAGGCTCGAGCAAAGGCCAAGAATTCTCCAAGTGACACTTTTATGTGATCAATGGCCCTATGGATTTCTTCAATGTTTTTCTCTAGGTGCTCTTGTAATCTCCATTTACTGCTCACAAAGATCATTAAACTTGCAACTGAGCTGGATACACTGTGCTGCAATCTAGTCAGCGTCTCTATGGCCACCTCAAGGTCCAGCTTAATTTCTTTGGCAGGCTCTTCTGATGATGACACAGAAGAAGACTCAGAAGAAGAGTTTGAGGACGTAGAAAGGCTGCTGTTTCTGCTGTCCACACTAGAAACAGATAATCTGTCGTGTTCTGGTTTGGTGTCTCTCGAGAGCTGTGGGGGAACATGGTATGCCTGGTTTCCAGAACAGTTGCTGTTTTTTTCCATCTCTTTCATGGATTGTGTAGCAGTGGGCAAACATTTTGGGATATCATAGACATTTCCTCCAGAAATCTGATTCTCAGCATTTGGAGCCAGGAGACTTGGGGGTACATCACAGCTACCATTCTGCTGCAAGAGAACATCCTTTGAGGATGGAACGTCATAAAGAGGGACATCTGGAAATGTTAATTTCCGTTGTGTTGGTGGAATATCATACAACTCTGGATTTACAACGTTGGCTTCAGCATTTGTTGTTAGTGCCTTGTACCTGGCTGGGGGTATATCATATAGCACCTGGTTCTCCACGGAATGGACAGAAGAGTTTTGTTTTAATCCTGTTTTTTCAGGTGATATTGGAATATCATAAATCCATTCTGACTTCCGAGGATTTGGCAAGGTGTTACAGTGACCCCAGAACTTCTTCTGAGATTTCTTCTCTGAAGCATCAGTTTCTCTTTTCGGAGGGACATCATACAACTGCATCAAAGCACATAGGATTTAGAAACAGTATTTTCAAAAAAGAAGTAAGAAACAAAACTAAATTCTCAGTGTGCACATGTATGCAGTAATAACAACAGAATGATGCCACAAAAAGCTTAGTCCACACTTTTTACTACCTTTCTACAACGCGCAACCTGCAGATGTGAAGGCTAAAATATTTTGGGCACAGGTGATTAAACCATGTCAAAGTTCTCTTGGACCATAAACTGTTTAGGAAACTTGAGATGCTTGGCACTCGACTAATGAAGAGTCTCCATTGAGGTACTTTCTTTGTTGTGAAGTTTGAGATCAGCCCTTTCTCCAAGGATGATCTTTGGAAGGTGGGGAAGCCCACCTCACCCCTCAGCACTGCCCCCAAAGGCAGGTGTGCTGTACTCCCAAAGAGTGGCAGGAGTAGCCTGCACGCAGTGGGAAGTGTTTGCTTCTGTCTGCTTGAATACTGCAAACAAGCAGACATTCACAGGCAGTGTTTTCTTTTTAGCACGAAGCACAAAGTGCTGCACTGAAGATGTGCTGATGCTGTCCCTGTGACCCTTGCTTGCAAATGCACTCGGAGAGTGTTCAGCACACATGCCTAACATCAGAGCACTAATGGGAGACTATTCTCTCATGACCAAAAAGTCTTACTCACGTTGCCCACTGCTGAATCCTGGATAACAGCTCCAGCCTTCTCTGAGCTGGATGGGACGCTGTACAGCTGCTGCTCTTCCTGGAAGCACTTGGGAGATCTGATCAGCACAGAGCCCTTTCGTGCTGCAGGTGGAGTGGCACCACTCTGGCCAAAGGGAAAAGAATCAGGTTTCAACCCACTTTAGAGCCCTCTGAAGGCTGCCTTGATATTCAGAGATGTTCAGGTCACATACTGCGTAGCTCCTGATTTCCACAGTCTAGATCAGGACCGTGGTAGTTAAACTGAACGTGTTTGTAAGAAACATAAGCAGATTTAAATGACATTTCTTTGAATTTCTAACCAATTCAAAACAGAACTACTTTGTTTTGAACTTCCCAAAAATACATGGTTTTCTGCCAAATTAAAAAAAAAAAAACAACAAAAAAACAAAAACAGGAAAACGCTAGAATTAAAACCCTAAACCTTAAGCTGTATTCTGAGGCTCTATGGGAGGGAGACGGGCTGGGGGCCCAGTGGTGTCTGATGGACTGAGGGAAGACGTACCTGTGTGAGCAGGGACTCCCGGCTCTGCATGGACGGGACATCATACACCTCACTGGTGATGTTTGGCACTGAAGCCCGGCACGCCCTCGGGAGAGTAAAGAGGTGCTTAGAGGAGAAGGGAAAACAAAGCAAAACAATGATGAGAAAACCGCAGTGGGCAACAAGCTCAGGACATCTTTGAAAGCTCAGCTTGTTGAACAGGTCACTGCTAGAGGAGGAACTCTTCAGTGATTCACAACCTTTAGTTTTTTCACTGATGGTGATAAATTTGGTATTTTCTCCTTTGCTACCATTTCTGCTTTATTTCAGATAAGAACGGGCGCATATGAATCAAAGGGAATCAGTGTTATTAACCAGGGAGGGAAAAGATCTGAAGAAAATTCAGCTTCTATTATCACTTAAATCTTTTGACCTCTCCAAAGCAGAACTGTTAAAAAAAGAAAGCAGGGGATTTTCTACTTCTCTCTCACAGAGCCATCAGGTCAAGCCATGATTCTTGGTAATAACAGCAGCAAAAAGATACAGGCTGAGATGTGTTACTCTGTAGTCGTGAAGCATTTACTCATTTGGAAGAAATAAACACAATTACCTCAATGTCCTATCCAGCTCCTTAAACAGAGAAGCCTATATAGGAATTACAGTATTTAGGCTAATTACAGACTAATTCTATGTGCATAAAACATTGTTGTAAGAGCTGAGATCAGAGATGTGGCACCAGTAGTTAAGGCACCAAGATGAACGTTGGGAAAGGCCTTTCATCAACCTTGAAAATACTGACTTTTGTTCATTCAGCACACAGCCTGGGCGACAAGCGAAGCGACAACGTTTGTACACAGGGTGAAAGCAGGCTGGCTTTGATTTACTGCTTTCAGTCATCTCCCTCAAAGACTTCCAGTGGCTTTACTCAGCTGCTTGGGGAACAGCTGAGTGCGTTGGCAGCTTTGCCAGTTGTCTGGTAGGATCTACGCAGGGCAGCTCTGATTGCCTCTGTGTGCAGCCCATGACCACCACAATGCAGTTGTTGTGGCAACAGCTGGGATGTTGTGCAAGAGCCAGCTCAGGCAAAGCTGAACGTTGAAGTAGTAAAAGCAGCTAGGACTTCTGTTTTTTCCTCTTTTTTTTCTTCCTTCCCCCTTTCTCTGGTAGAGTAAGCAAGGCATAGACTCACGAAATTACAGAGACAGGAAAAGCCAATGAGCTCTAATGTTGGGCCACTCACACAAATGAAGAAATAAATGACATTTCCAGGGCCTGATCCGTTGTCGCAACGTGGAAAATTGCGCTGATCTCACTTCAGTTTGCATGTGCCTTGCCCACTTTGTGGTTAAGAATGCAGAGAAACCAGATCACAGCAAGTGCACAAGGGTCTTTGGCAGCTACTGCCCAGTTTGAGCTTGCCATTATGGAAACATTGTGGAAATTGCAGTCACCAGAAATTCACCAAACATGCCTGTTTTCCAGCACCTATTTGCTGCATAGGAGGAACCAGCTCCTCATTCTGTAGCACAGCGGGAGGAAAGCCGGCCAGCTGCGTCCTGTAGATCAAATGCTCATTAATTCAGACTAAAGGGCTGTATGGTTTGGGGTTGGACTTCTTTCCTATGCCAATTAACATTTTGAATGTGATTTTCGTACGCAGAATAAAGAGCTACCCAGAGCTGAAGAGCTCCTGGGACTGAACGAAAGCTTGCACTTGGAACTCCCTCCACACCTGCTCTGTTTATCTTTTATAATAAAAGATTCCTCATTAATCTCGTGCTGAAGAAAGCACAAGGTTTTGATGACACTCACTGTGACATTTCATCAAATTATACATTTCCTGCTCAGATGTTTCACCCGAATGGAAGGAACAGGAAGAAAGAAAAGACCACATTGGCAGTAGTAATGAAGTCCTGCAAAACAGGGTTTATAATCCCACAGCACTAAGGAGACTGGTGACTGCTCTCATTCCACGTACTCTGCTCACTGTCTCAGGAGCAGCAGCAAGAACAGATCTGGAAAGGATCTGGCTGAAGCCATGCTCACAGCTGAACAGCCCCGCGTCCTCCCACACGCCTGAAGAAGAGCTGCTGCTTCGTGCAAGCGTAGTGACAGCCTACAAAGCAATGGCTCTCTGAGAAAGCAGCTGAATGACAGCCCTGGCAAAAGATAACTTTTGTTTGTCAGAAATCTTCTTCCTGTGCGGTTGGCTGCAAAGACCCCCAGTGTGCACCAGGAGGCTCTGAATAGATGCATGCTGGTGAGCAGCAGGAAGGTGCTGTCTCTTCTTATTTTGACTTCGGGGTGGGTTTGCGAATCATTTTGAGATTTCTGCAAACAAATGGTTTATTCTATACTTCCTGCCATGCTTTACAGCCTTCGTAAACTGTCAAAAAATGTGAAACACTACAGAACACGGAGTATCATACATTGCCCAGATCAGCCTTTCTCTCATTGTGCTGTGATGGAACTCATTCCCTAAACGCTCTTTATTTGGTCGGCTTTGCTGCAAATTCCACTGGAATTTTCCACCCAGCAGCCGTTCGGATCCCCTCGCCCCCCAGTCGCCACTTCAATGGCAGCTCTTGGTCCCGTGCTGCTCACACCCTACCTGCTGCTTGGAGCTCCGTGTCCTCTCACTGAGCAGCTGTGCAGCCAAAGCCGGCACCTGGTAGACCCCCTGAGCAGGCAGGGTAGCAGCCCGAGCCGGCGGCGTCACCCACCCCTCCATCTTCTCATAGGTAGAGGATGACGCAGTGCCCTTGGGCACAGATGGCACCTGGTAGATGTTCTGCGGGGCCACGGGTGGCTCTGGAGCATCGCTGGGGATGGCAGGAGGCGGCAGGGCTTGTGGGCCCGCCAGGAGCTGCAGGCGGTTGGCAGGAGCCAGGCCTTGCCGTCCATGCAGTGAGCACCTCCACCAGCCCTCGCTGCCGACGACGTGCTGCTCCAGCACTGTCAGGATGTCCCCTCGACGGAAGGCCAGCTCGTCTGAGCACTCTGCCTTGTTGTCATACAGAGCCTTCGCCAGCGCGTTCTGAAGGAGAGAACACAGCAGCATCACACCGACAGCAGAGCAAGGCACCGGCGTGGCGCTCACCTCCACTGCCATCTCAATTTGATACAAAATGGGCTTGAATTAAAGACCCTATCTCGGAGCACTGGATTCAGAGCATCAACTGCCTCTAACATTTGTCTGCTATGTTGTACAGAAGTAATAACTCTGCTGTATGTTTCTGCATTGCTCTCCCACCGAGGTTCTTGGCATTCATTACCTGGACTTCATGAGCATCGTTCTATGAAAAATCGGTGGTTTTCCCCATGAGCATTCTGTGAATTGTTTGTCAGAAGTAAGAGGAAATGTGTCACCCAGCCAAAAATAAACCTCGCCTCGTCCTCCCTGTCTGCCGCCTCGTTTATCTGAGGGCTTCAGCTGCACATTAGTAATTAATTGTTTCTTAATAGAAAAAGAAATAAACACACTACTTATTTTCCCTTAAACACTTCTTTTCTCCCCAAGCCTCATGAAGGCAAACCCAGCAGCAGTGCCAAGGAGCTCAGTCTCCTGGTGGTGCTGGGGCAGCAGCACTGAAGGCAGCAGCTCCAGTGGTGCCCACCTCAGCCCTCCATCAGGCTGGAGAGCTGCCTCCTATTGCATCACAGATCCCAGGCCAACACCGTGTGTCATTTAGCTTGGGGAGAAACCCCCAGCCTTGTGCACAGTGACACCACATGCATTGCTCTTTCCGCTGGCTGGGCAGCGCACCCAGGAACTGAGCTTCAGGTGAGAGCAACTGGAACAGTGCCCTTGTTCCTCTCCATGACACAGACATCAGCGTGCACTGAAACATTCAGTATCTCTCAGCAACTCCAACAGTGCTCTTATCACCTCACCTCTCTCTCTTTAAAAAAAAAAATAAATAAATAAATATATATATACATACACACAGAAAGCCAGTGAAGAATAGTTGACAGATCACAGGAAATCCATAGGAAAGCAAATATTCATACTTTCCAAGCTTCAACACCACAGGGCTGCTCTACCTGCCTCAGCTGAGCTTATATATAGCCTGGCAATCTTGAGTGATAACACTTTATTTTTAGCATACTGATTTTGGATATTTGCTTACTCCGTATGGGGCGAAAGAATGAAAAGCAGCTGCAGCAGGTAGCTTCATTCATATGAAGCATTTTTGCAGAGGGTGAAAAGAATTGTAGCTGCAGTACTTCCACAAATACCATTTGCTTTCAGCTTACAATGTGACTGACTGCTTCCCACTGGACGTTCCAGCATCCCTTTCTTAGCGGAAAGTGCAAGTAACGTCCACAGAGATAGCACCCAAATAGGAAACATGATGCCTTGTATTTTTGTGCAGAGCATTTGCTGCAAAGTGACAGCTGGTTTGAAGCAGCAGCAAACCCATTTGTCAGCTCAGCTGATGGAAGCAGCCTGCTGTTAGCAGCACACTCTCCTTCAGGAGAATGGCCGTGAACAATGGCCTTGTTATGATGCATGGACTTGTCCATCAGCAGCTGTCAGAGACAGACAACAACAGTCCCATTTACCTTATGGCATGTTCTGATTAAAGCAGCCTTCTTGCCTTGGACACGGCAGCCCGCTTTCTCTTTGGGCACTGCCAAATGCTCTCTCTGATCCACCTGTGCTGAAGTCAGCCTGCCACGAATCTCATCAGAGAGCAGCACAGGCTGTGCCTGCACTTCACACATTGTTACAGCTAAGAGGAAAAACAAAACAAATGCCAACCAACCCCCCAAAATCTCAAATGGACAACTAAACCAAAACCCCAACACCTCACCCAACTTTTCCTGCTGTTAGTTACAGACATTTCTACAACTCTCTTGGCATTTGCTCCCTTTTTGCTGAGCACTCTACACACTGAAAGATAGGCCCTCCTCACAAGACTCCAAAGGGATGGGCACAAGAACAGAGGAACCATCCTCATCATGCAAACAGGCAGCTGAGGTACAGAGCCTTATCCGAGCTCATGCAGGAGAGCTGATCTTGGGAACGGAGCCCTTCTCTGCTGCACTGAACAACAAAACTTTCTTTCTAGCTCCAGCAAAAGAAGGAGGAGGAAACTTTGGGTTGTAAAGGGTGTCTCGGTGCCAGCATTTCCCAAGCTAGCGTATAAAAGTTATAAAATCACAGAAGTCTAATAGCAAATTGCACTTGTTATTGAGTAAATATGCTGATTTTCACCAGGTCGGAATTTGACCTGCACACATCACAGCACATCTGGCCTCAGTTACTGAATGACCCTCAGTGCTACTCAGCATCACCCAAACGTGACCTCAGCAGGTATTGGTGAGAGGATTTATTCCAGCTGACCCCATCTTTGCTGCTGCAGCAACCTTACTGACAGGGAAAGATTGCATTTAAGGCCGTGTTGTCCCTTTGAGACATTCTTCAGCATATTTGAAGGAGGGCAGAGAAACTCAGGAAAGTATTTTGCTGAAGCTTTCTTATCCTTTCTCCTTGAAACTAATCTCAGGAAGAGTTTTACAGAAGGCAGAAACAGGTAAGATAACAGATCCCTAATTTGTAACCACTGAACTACAGGAAGGTCTCAGGCAAAACTCTTGAACTCAATCCTCTTTTTGCATCCTTATATCACACCACAGAAACTAAAACAAGAAAACCAAACCACAAGACGCACAACCATCAATTTCTATCCTCATAGGGACTCTCTTCAGTTCATTTTCAGTGCCCAAAACCAGGCATAAATTTGCAGCAACTCACTGCAAAACCAACCCAAGTGCTGGCACACCGCTGAAATCATTTCTGAATTTCTGCTGAAATCTCTAAGAACACGGAAGAAGGAACATTTTCACAACGTGTAAAAAAAAAAAGAAAGAAAGAAAGATCAAATGGATCTTGTTCTGTGTTCTCTTTGCTCCTCTGTTGTAAGACAGACCCATGCAGCATTTCTTTCATGCATTGCTACTACCAAAGGCAGCGCGGAAACAGTGTAAGTTCTGTTGGTTTCCAGGAGCACCAGCTATGGCTTCAATGTGTTAAAGCTCAGGATAATGAAATTGCTGTTAAAGATCAGCCTAATATCAGTAAAAGAAAATGCAGCAAACTCACAGCAGTGCCTAACATCACAGGCACTGATGAATTCATCTTATGGGAAATACAAGGCACTGAACCAGCTAGTTTTGGCACTGGCAAGTGCTGTATTTCTGTCAGCAAAGAGCTTTCTGTGGGCTAGCTGCTTTTCTCCTGTGCTGCTCAAGGTCACCTGCAGTGCAGCTCAGCTCACCTAACCAGGCTGTGTGCCACACATCAGGCCCTAGCTCTGCTTTCAGCTGCCCAGGACATGTGTAAAGAATTACTGTGGCAGCCCCTTCCCATCCTGTAAGCAGAAGCATCCCTGACCTTCCATTAACCTTAAACAAGCTTTGCATTCCCAGGGTTGCAGAGACTTGATGGGATACTTCACTGGGAGGAAGCTGCGCTTTGGGGCCACTGGGATCTGAATGTTTCCTTTATCACCAGAAGAGCAGAAGCAGACTGACACCATCATCTGCAGAATGCTGCGCATTGCTCTTTGTTTTTTTGTGTCACCTCATTAATGTGTCCTTACAGTGACCAACACGTAACGAGCACTAAAGCAAAGCAGATGAGATCAAAGTGTTTTTCTTTGGCATTTGTTGCTTTTTCCCTATCAGCAGCCCTATAAAACTATCCTGAGATGAAGCACATCTTAAAGGGCTGTTCATCACCCCATGGGAAAGCACTTTGGAGGTTGCTGAAGTTACCCCCTCCCTCTGCTCACTTAGTGAAGCAATGATGGAGCACAGACCTGGAGGGCAGAGGCTGCATCCTCAACAACCTATTTCTAAGGTGCTGCTCTCCCTCATATGGGAGTTTGTGACCTCGTCACTGCAGTGTTAGTTGGTCGTACACAATCAACCATATCAAACAGCTTTATACTGTAAGGTCTCCGGAAGCACAGCTTCAATTAAGTTAGGTGTGAACAAATTTCTTGTGTACCCACTTGTACTGAATTTTAGACCAATTGGTCTAATACAAGGCAGTCACTCTCTGTAATTCCCATCTTTATAGTTGGTTACCCAGCACTGCTCCCAACACACAAAAAAACACAACGCACCCAAAGCCCCAAAACCTCAGTGTAGTGATAGGGATTACAGGCAGCACTGCTCATTCTCCCCAAGCCCTCTTTTCTCCATGTTAGCTGTTGACCAAAGCCTGGCTACATCTAAGCCAGCACACATCTCCCCCTCATCTGTGCACAAACAGGATTTCATTCCCATGCATAACACTCCCAAGCCAAGTTGGAGGAAAAATAAACTGCCATTTCCTGACATTTCAAGAAGGAATGTATGTATTTCTGGCCTTTGGTTCCTGTTGCTGTCTAAAGGATTTGCCTGTATGTTCCGATTCATTTATATTTTTGAGCCTTTTCTAAATCTTTTAGCATGTTAATAGTATTTTAGCACAGCACTTATTTCCACACATGGACCTAAAGTAGCTGTTTAGGGCACGGACAGAAGTCCCTATGGGAGCAGCTGCCTGGAGCAACCACCAATCACTGGTCGCAGTGGGACGAACAGCCACAAGCAGCAACTGCTGCCTGCTCTCCACTCGGGTGCACACGTGGACAGTCCATCACCCACACCTTGCAGCAGAGCTCTTATTGATGCTGTGAGGATGGCAGAGGCCCAGGGGAGGCTGCTCTCTCTGATTCATAATGAATGAACCACAGCAGCACCACAGCTTCCAGGCACTCCAGCTTCCTCCATCTCCCTCACTGCAGTCGTCTGCTCAAAAATATTGCTATGATTACGTGGTAAGATAAGATTTTGGACAAGATCTCCACTGAAAATTAAAATATTCTCTAGGAAATGAAAGAGATGTTGCTCCCACCCGCCCCAACACCTACCACATGCTGCACTGTGTGCTTTTTAACATGGGGCACTCAGTGACTGCAGCTCCTGCCTGGAGCCGCAGCTGCCGGAGCTCAGCTGTGCAGTTGGATGCAGAGATTCACTGCTGTGCACAGCCAGACAGCCCTTGCTTAGCACAAAACAAGCTCCTACGCCACGTCTGCTCATTCACTGGGGCAAAACACTGACATGAAACCCGGTGTGTCGGTGCATTCATCCAAACATTTCAAATATTCACTGTTTCAAAGCAGAGCAGTATTTCTTAAAAGCAAACAGCACCAGTGCTCCTTTCTGCTTTGGAGCTTCAGCTCTCTTTGCAGAAGCAGTGTAGAACTTGGTCAGTCCCTATCCTAGAGAGCATAGCCCTGCTGACACTGCTTCAGCAGAGTGACTCAAGCTGTTATAGCATTTCTGTTACCTGAACCCTCGTGATCAGCATGTAATCACCATAAGAATCGCAGCATCCTCCTTCTGTTGAAGTAATACTCAACTTTTAGTTCCCCATGCTAATTATTTCCAAGGAAACAACGAGGGCAAAGGGCATCCTTACAGCCCTCTAGCCCCTACTCATGTAACCTTTCAGCAAGGCACATTACTGCCCAGTATTCATGGTACAGAACCTCACTCTTATCAGCCTTACTGCTGCTCAGAGGCATTTCTTCAGCTGAACTCATGGAATCATAGAATGGTTGGGTTGAAAGGGACCTCAAAGGTCATTTGGTTCCAACCCCCGCCCCAAGCAGGATTGCCAACCACTGCACCAGGCAACTCACACTGTGTTTCAAGAGTTCAAACCACAAACTTCCACAGTAACCTGGAAACAGGAGCAGCAGCACACACTGAGAAGCAGAAGCCAGATGCAGGTCTCAGATAAACGCACTTCCACCACCAATACGACAAACCACACAGTTAAATTAAATGCCCCAGAAATACGATAATCCAGTACTTACATTGACCTTCATTTTGGCACCTCCACTACTCCATCCCCTAAGCAGGACTGAAACTGCTGAGCCCAGAAGCAGCTCTGTTCCTTCTGCACCACTGGGAGCCCCGAGCACAGCACTGCTGGGAGTGGAGGGAGCTAATTACGTAGCACAATTATCAGCATGTGCTATTGGCCTGCAGCTGCTGCTGTAATGGGGCCTGGCACAGGGCACGCAGATGTCCCTCATCCCCTGGGAAATGCCTTTCTGCCTTACAGCTGAATCTTGACTGGTCGACGGGGGCAGCGGGGATGAACCAGAAACGGATTTGTTTGATTTCATGGTGTTTTTGTAGTGTCATCTTTTCCTCCTGCTCTTGTGTACTTCCAGATGTCTCCATCTACTTTGTAATTTTCAAGTTTGTGTTCCTCAAAACCTGAGATCTCCTCTACAACTGGGGAAACGGCTGCAAAATAATCACCTGCTTCTTTAGAAGCAGAAAAGGCGAGGAGCAAAACTAACCATCAAAGCTAACCATTAACTGCGGGTGAAAGGGCATGATTCTTTAATTATTAAAAGCTGTTCAATGCTATCAAACAGGAGTGTTGTTTAGAATCATCCATCACCGCCATTCACTCAGCAAGTTGTGCCCAAGCAAACACACAGGTTTCACTGCTGCAGGCTCATTCACATCACTGCTTTTCTTTGGCTGCAGTTCTCCTTCCTCCTTCCACAGCAGCTTCAAAATAAAACCAGTCACTCCTACAGCCACAATGACTTCACTAGAAAAGCCACACATCTCAAATAGAAAAAGTTGAATTGAAAATGCCTTATCAACAAAATTTACACTTTTGGACGGGGCTTGGAACAGAGCAGCAGTTGCTGCAGTTATCCCAAGGAGAGGGAATCCTGGCACAAAGTAACTCATCTGTACCTCCTCTGAATACTCGGTGCAGGCAATAAAGAGCAGCTGCTCGTTTACTGCCCTGGGGTTCCAGAAATACACAGAGCAGTGCTGCAACTTGCAGCCACAAAATATTAAACAGAACTGAACACTGCCTGGAGCCAATGCCAGGTAGGTCTGTGTGGTGTCAGCATGGCACCCCCAGGAGTGGGGCCATGAGTGAGCCCAGTGCAGCCCCAGGACAGTGAGCAGAGCCTGGTGGTCTCCCAGGTTTGAAATGGGGATGTGTGGCTGTGGGTTTTTGTATTCCTGAGTGGCAGAGCTCCCAGAACCCAATCTCCGTGCACCTGGTTGTGGATGACACAGGAAGACACGAGCTGAGCATTTCAGATGGAGGGGCAGATTTCAGATTAACCTCATGCGTGTTTAAGAAATGCCGCTGGTTTTCTTTTGGCAAAAGCACAGAAAATGTTGCCGAGCAGTGAGAGAGCTATTTCCCAAGCACAGCCTACCATGCTAACTGCGTTGTAAGTTGCACCAAGATGTGCAATATTTCCTGTGTGGATGATGCTGCAGGTGCAACGAGAGAGAGATCCCACATTCCTCTGGGTGTGATCCTACCCTGAATCCATCTTCAGGAATGATCATCTATGTGAAGGTGGAAGAGCCAGGGCACAGAACAAGCATGGAGCGCTGCCAGGCAAAGGAACACTACTGCTGGTGCTTCAGCATGTCTAGAGAGTGGGAAAAACACCACTTCTGTACTCAGAATGGCATTCAGATATTATAATGAACAGTTCTGCCTGATGCTCCCTTATAAATAGTGTATAAATGATATAGCAGAAAGAAATCTAACTTCTAGTTGTTATTTCCCCTGGATTTGGCTGGGTATGCTGTGGTTGTGTCCAAGGAGTTTGAACAGCACTGGAAATCATTGTGCTGCCATCACATTGATTTCAACAGGCCATGTAGGAAACCTCAAAATAACTCACCCAGAAATAAACGCTCTTGGAATAGATGTCATGCAGCAGTCTCTGGTGACTTCACATAAGAAATGGTTCTGCCACCGCTGCATGTCTGAGTGGAAATGCTGAGCGCAGCCCATGGCTCACTGAGCTGCTCGCCAACTTCCTTCCCTTGCTATTCTCTGTACCAGGCTGCAGTTTATTTAGAGTCAACACTGGGACCATCGTCAGGAGTTGAAAGATCCTTCTGTTACACCGCTTGTCAGACAATCAAAGCACCAAATAAGGAATTAAGACTTCAGCACTCTGACCTTACAGCAGCAAACTTTTATCCATGTCTATTAAAAACGTATTAGGATAACATGAATACACAGAGACACGTGAAAAACCTTGTAGATTGTTTCTTTCGAGAAACCAAACCCAAAGAGAGCACTTCAAATCTTTTTCTGTTTTGTTGTAACATAGGGAAATGATCTGCAATAGGATGTCTGGAGCTCCCCATACAGCTATGACAACATACAGTGTACACAACTTATCACAGAGCAGCAAAGCAGGGGAATCTATTGTTCCACAGTTTATTCACAGGCAGTCGTTACTGGGAATCTTGCTTCTTTTGGAGCTCTCCCCATGACAACCTTTTTCCCATTAATGCTTTTGTCACACAATGAAAGCACAGACACCCAGCACAACACCTCCCAACGCGCTCTGCCCAAGATGAGAGCATCAAACACCTCCAACATCACCAACCCTCACGCTGAGACCAAACATCAAACCTTGCACTAGACCCTATCTTTTCACTTCTATTCCTTGCTCAGACAACCCAAAGCAACGTACCTTTGCAGTTTGGCTGCTTCTCATGCTCACACTGGTGCTGTCACTCAGCAGCAGCTCTCAGCGCAGTGCAGAGGAGCCCCGGCGCTGTGCAGTCACTGCGTGTGGGACCTGCAGCTCTGACCGCCCTGCCCTTACAGCACCCAGCAATGATGTGTGTAGGCAGTTCTCATGAAATACGGTTTCTGTGACAGCAGATAAGGTGGAAAAGAAAACAAAACAAAGCAGGAAAAGTCGACCAGCACCAGGAACTGAGAGAAAGTCTGTCTGCAAGCGGAATTTTCCTTGAACTGTCACCAGCTTGCAGCAATTAACCACAGCCAGAAGTGTCACCCTCCTTTTCTGCTGCCTGTTCCCGTATTTCTTTGTTTAGAAGTGTAACAAACACAAGAATACTTCACGCCACAAGAGGCTGCACAGCCCGTGATAGAAGGAAGGCTGCCACAATCGTACCAGTTCAGGATTCCTAAGCCAATGTTTTCATGCTTTTCAAGGCTGTCTCTGTATTTAAAGCACCCCATTATAATTTTTGTTGTCATATAAAAGTGGCTTTGAGAGAACCTTAAGCATTACCTTACGTGAGGGTGAATTCTATGGCGATGACTCCTCCTCACTGCCCAGAGCCTGGTGCATTCAAACAGCATCCTGTCCTGCACCATGCTGGGCAGAGCAGAGTTGTTCTGTGGCAGCACTGGAGGATTTTTTTCAGTCACATACACAACCTCCCACCCTGAGCTATAGTTTACCCCAAACTTACCCAGTTTTACTGGAATTCATAGGGTACTTCTAGCAGAAAGACAGCATGCAGGAGAAACGCTCATCCCAGGCCACTACCCTCTTTTAAGTGGGAAGCATCAACGCTTGGCAAACCAGATTTCCAGCAGCATCCCTGTGGGAGAGGCCATTCCCAGAGCCGTGTGTCAGCTGCTGGTCGCCAAGTCAGCACCCCAAGCAGTGCTAAAGCCCAAAAGGTACAAATCCACAACTGTGGCTTGCCTCTAAATCTGCTCTGCTTTCAGGAGTGCAGTGGTACAACCTCAGCACTTGTCCATGACAGACAGAAGGGGCAGGTGGATAAATTGACCTTCAGCAGGGGATGGAGGCTCTCCTGCGAGATACAACCAGTGCTGGGTCTGAGTGGAAGAGCATGGCAGGACATAGTTACTGAGAGCTACAGATGGGAATAAAGCATTCCTTTGTCAAACGAAGGGCTGCCCAAACTGCAAGAGCAAGAGAAGAAATCAACATCCATCAGTCAGCAATGTCCTCCAGCAGAAGTTATCTGCCCAAGGAAAGATCCCTTCTCCTCGGAAAGGCAGCAGGTCACTGCTTTCTCACTGGCAAGTGCTCGAACCCAGGGCAGCTCACAATCTCAGGCAGGAATTCTGGTTGCCAAGAGCTTGCTTATACATTTGCTTCCTCTTTCAGGTGAAAGAAGAGCTGCCCTTAATCTCTGAGGAACAAAGAGCTTAAAAACGGGGCAATAGCAAAGTTTGCTAGTCTCACAAGAATATCTGAAAACCACAGGAGGATGGTTAGTAATGACTGTGCTGGTAACACGGTATGTCCCGTACCTGGAGCAGGCAGGCATCCGTGTGCTGTAGCACTCTGCTATCTGAGCACCAGCAGCACTCAGCACACCACAGAGGGCTTTCCCATAACACCCACGTCCCCTCCCACCGTATCTCATGCTACCCCCATGGATTTGCACTCAGCTCAAGGAAAAAACAGATAAACAGTAGAAAAGTGGAAGAGTATGCATGGCTAAGAGAGTCAGAAACAGATGCTTTCTCCAATCGAACAAGTTTACCAAGCTTGCATTTTGTTATCAAGGAAAATCAGCAGCAAGGATGCTCTCTGCACCTACTGCATTAACCCACAAGTGTGAGACTTGCTTCACACTTGTCTGAACATATCAGGGAAAAGCAGTTTCAAAACAGGTTCCCCCAAGGTCAAAGACAGCTGCAGAACTGGGCTGTAATCTTTCTTCCCCTTCTGAAAATAAACAGAGCTGTTCTGAAGCTGCTAGCAAGAACTGTGATCCACTGAGCTGACTACTCTCAGCAGTGCTGAGTACAGCAAAAGCCCCGTACTACCTAACACTTAGTAGGTAACGTGCTAAAAATTGCTTTCCTTTACAAAGCTCATTTTAAGAGCATTCCAAATATTGGAGCAGGGTTGCTTCTTTTTGTCCCCAACTTCATTAATAGAGAATTTTAAGAGCACCAAGGCAACAACAAACAGCATCCGTGCAAAGGTCATTCCTCTGGACACACTTGTGAACTTGCCTGCTTTCAGGCAGGACTGGTTCTGAAAGACCCAAGCTCACTTTGCCTGGTCAACTTCAGTGCTCTGAAACTTGAGTAAAAACATTCCTGTCCTTGGATGATGGAAGGGGAACAGAAGCAGTTAGAGATTATCTATCCTAACCTTGACTGCCTCCTCGCTGACTCTAAACTTTTGATTCAGACTGAAGATCTTACTTCCCTGCTCTTGGTTCAGCTCCCCAAACTCAAGTTTGATTCAGGCCACTTGCCCTTTTATATAATTATATCCTGCATACAGGATACAACAAACATTTTTACTTCAGGTAGAAGACATCTTACTCAGTCTGAAGCCTGAACCAAAATGGTTTTGCTTTTTCTTTATGTTTTGTCATGCTAGATCCAAGCTGCTCCCTGAGCCACTTCACTCCAATAGCTCTTGGATTTTTCAAGTAATCTACTTAAGTAACAAAACACAGTAACTAGCTTAGTAAATAACTTATTTTTACTGGGAAAAGCAAGGCCACTTTTTGTAAATACCTATGGAAATCAAACTATTTTAATGAAATCAATACGAACATCCTGCAGCCAAATGCCAGTTTTCTCTCTGTGAGCATCATCTCTCACTACAGTACTGCTAAAAGACAACAGCACAGGAGCTCATTTCAGGATGTTTTCTCCTACATCTCTACTTCTGTTTCAAGAGAAAAACAAGGAAACCAACCTCGTACAGAATTAAGGAAGTCTGAAGTGAAAGCTACAACACTGCTAACTTAACAACTCCAGCAATGGTTTAATATACAAAACACTGCTTCGAAAATAGAAGAGCCCAAAGATGCACAGCGAATGAGTTACTTACAGACAGCTGCTTTACAGAAACACTTCAATTTAATAAACAACTCCCACTGCTCCCAGTTTAGCCCACTGGTGCTGGTACCAGAGGGCTGACTGCTGAGCAAGGACAGCGTGTTCATAGCTGTGTCATGATTTCCCTTCTCCCTCCCACCGGCTCTCCTTGTTCCTTCACCAAAGCAGCCAGCAGAACCCACCACCTCCTGCCTCCCGTGCATCTGAAGTTGTAGACAGTTGATGTAGAAAATCACTGAGTCTAATAAATTGGTTCTGTACTGCTGTACTGTTTAAGAAGAATATTAAATTTAGAACAACAAAACTGAAACATTCAACACTGCAGGTCTGCAACTGCCTGATTCGAATGCAGTGCAACAGAGCAATTCAGGCTGTAATACATCCCAAATCCTTCCGGTACTTTTACTATCTTCTATATAGAAAACTAATACATTTCCTTCTTTATATATTAAATAATTTTTTAAAAGATCATCTTTATTTATATATAGACAAAACCTGCATCCTCATCAGCCCTTGACAAGACACTCAGTGGCAATGGAAAGTTAACCCAACATTAATAAACAACCATACATTTAATGAAAGCAAGTGCTGAGCTTATGACTAAGGGAAATTCATTCCCAAAAGTGAATCTGAACAGCACTGCACCACTGTGCTGCAGATAGAATGCCTGAATGAACACTCTTAAAACTGCAAAGACCGGATATCAAACCTCACCTACAAGAACATGTAGTGAATTTTCAAATGTATAGAAGTTTTAACCACAGATTTCTTGCTGATTTGTACTTCTATGAATACAGTAAGATCTGGGAAACTCAGACTATCAGACACAGCAGGCAGAAGAAACAATGAGTCTGTTTTTAAATTCAAAAAAGTATCTCAATTGCTGTGTGACACACTGACAGAATGTGAACTAAATGAAGCAAACTGACATTTCTGATGTAGATATACGAAGAAAATTGACATTTCTCAGAGGAGTTACTAAACAGTTCCTATTGCCAGGTTATTCTCACTTTCATATGCTGCAGCACTGCCACATTTAATAGCTTCAGTGTGAATATTCCTTGAATTTACTTTAAGATTACACTTAAGATAAATTGTAAAGAAGACAAGATTTCAAGTCTGAACTTTAATATCAGAACTAGAACACCATTTCTTCAATTCATCTGAACAATTTAAAACCACGTTTTAAATTCTTATGGCACCAAACTGACTCAGAATCAGAGGCCCGCTTGGCCAACTGAGGGAAGGAGACTGAAAGATATAAAAGAGCTTCAAAGCATGAATCAGAACTGAAGACGGCTTAAGGCTTCACTAAAACATTCACTGAGTTCTACCGTTGCTCGTGTAATCCATTCTTTAAACAGACTTTAGGGGGATTGCACAGATACAATGCAGAGCAAAACTGGCTCACACTGCCCAGTTTGAGCAAGATTTAGTCACATTATCTTTCGCAGGATTCAGAAAGACAGGAGAGTAAGTTTAATCCTTCCTGCAAGGATTGTTTTATTCCGCACCCCAGCTCCTCGAGTAAAATCAGAGATGACTTAAAAAAATTAATGCCACGCACACTAATAAAAAAAATTAGCGTGGGGCAAAACTGAAGTTTCAGTATCTCAATATTTTTCTGCCATCTGACAGAATTAAAACACAAAACAACAAAAAACAGACACAGCTCTCCTTTAGGCATCTGTCGGCGGTACAATCAATACAGGATGATGTAAGGAATCTGGATAACCATTCTTTTATCAGGATGCCCTCAGTCCGTCGTTGACCTCCTGTACCAAAATCTAGCCCTGTAGTCGTCACTGCAGGTCATGAAGCCGGGGTTGGTGGGCGAATGGACAATACAGCGGACGATGCTGTTGTGCCCAAGAGAAAGGAGATTTCTTCGCTCAGCAGTTCTTGAATCCCAGCAGCAGAGACTTATGGTCCTTTCATCTGGCAGCAGCACGTAGTCTTCTGTGTGGTTGAAGACTGCTTGTGTCCTGTGCACTTGACGTCCACTCAAACCAGCTCCTAAATACATGCAGTGAAATACAAGCCAAGTAAGATCTTTAGGTTTTTCTTCCCCAAGGATCCAGAAGTAAACTACAGCAATTGATAGTTATGGGAAGTCTATTACCGAGCCTTATTTCCTCAGTTAGTACACATGTAAAGCAACTACAGATATCCTCTTGTAATTATATACACTGTATAGGGCAGAACATGTTAGAGAATAGAAGGATTAAGCATTCCACTTGTAAGAAGTTCAGCCAGTCAGTATGAATGCAAACATTAAGAGCAGTATAACCTTACATCTTTTGTACAAGGCTTACAGCTAACTAACTGAAGACCACAGTTATTGGTAAACACAGATTCCTGTTAACATTAATAACTTCTTCTTTTAATATGCAGGCCATGTACTTCAGCCACACCTCTCCTCCTCCCTTCAAAGGGGACGTGTTACCCACTCATGCATTTATTTTGCAAGGAATACATTGCTGCATCCTACCTGGTGTCTGCAAGGGTTTACTGAGGAGGTGCTGCACCCTGCTGGTTGGCAGCAAACACAGCCAGTGCACACAGACTGCACACATCCAAACCAGTGGTACGAGTTCAATTCCCCTACAGTCTGGGCAACAATCCAGGCAAGTGAACTCCTCTAACTCCAAAAGGATTACACAGTACTTTTGACTTTCCCATTTTTTGGTTAGACTAGGCGTGCAGCTTAAACTGGTGAGCCCCCAAACTAAAGTGAACATTAACAAGAAAAGCAATTATGCTTTTTTAAAAAATAATGTTCAAGAAAAACTAGAAAATGAAATTCTTCCCACAAGCATTCTATTCCTTAAGGGATCCACATTCCTATTTACTTTTTCTCTAGTCTGGTGATGACTTCCCTCCAAAAGTGTAATGATGTCAGTTACGCGTCCAAGCTCTAGCTAGAGTAAATAGATT